CTAAGTTGCCCCTCACTGTATCTGCACGTCTCCACATGGCCAGACTTCTAGTGTTCTTCTCCCATTTTAATGCTCTGATGCTCATCCTTGAAGAATGCCATAAGGTCTGAAATAGACAGCAAAGTCGACATACTGTACAAACAATTATCTAAACTAAGTCATACAAAATGATTGTTTGATCTACTGCTCTGCTAACTAGCTAGCTAGCTGAAGTGAAGTCAGTGGCTAGCTAAGATAGAGAAAGAGGACGGAAGAAGTTCAACACTTTATTCAATTAATTTCAATACAGCACATGGATTCATCATGGATTGGGCATAGAAGGCCTCTGATCACGCTGGTGAGCAGTATCTGACAGGCTCGGCTAACGATGATGTGCTGGAGATTTCTGCAGGAATTTGTAGTCTTCTTGAGGTCTTCTCTGTTTCTAATCAGCATTTTGAAATGTTGACACTAAATTGAGGTGAATATATTGATAAAACGCACATTGTCCGAGAATTACACAGTGATCAAAAACGTCACGCTAAGGGAAGCCTACACCAAAGACAGACTTAATTTGAAGTGTTTGTAAAATTCACTATGTGAAATATGAATGGTGGAAAGACGATTGGAACCATTTCTGTGTTTGACCGCTAGGTTTTATGGGTATTAGTAAACTGTGGGGCTCTATAGGCTACCAGTGCTGTAAGTGCCACTGGCTGCTTTCTTGACTAATTTTTTCCAACACATGGCTAACCTTTGTTTAACCAGCTAAACAGCTGCTCTTAGTGAAAATGTGTTTGGCGTTACCTTTCTAGCTAATAGGCTGTGATAGAGTTTACACTTCCTCTTCCAATTATAACCTGGGGAGGTCAACATAATGAACAACTATCTACCAAATCTATTCATTTAAAAATGTTGATTACTTCTCCTTTCCATTATCATTCAATCTGATAATAAGACAATATTTTTTTGCTAACATATAAATGGGGGTCCCTGGGTCGCCGGTTGAAGACCCCTGCTCAAAGCTAATTCAAACATATCCTATAATACCATCCCCATAATATTCAGGAAATCCATGACTGAGGGTAGGCATCAAAATATCTCTCTACCTGCTCCATTTGGCATTGTGTAGCTGCCTAATAATCTTGCATATTGGATGGCATTTCCATGTACAACTTAAGTAGTACGTAACTCATCAAAACACATTTCAATTCCTTTCACAATTTAATGCATAGAAAGAGCAACAGATGTATTCTAATAATTTGGGAAAGACAATTTACACTAAAATAGTACTGTAGAGTCTTGCTTTTTGATAACTTATTTGGGAATTCCCAAAACACATACAGTGGGGAAAAACAAGTATTTGATACACTGAAAAATCAGCAGTGTATCAAATACTTGTTCTCCCCACTGTATTTGCTGCTCACACAGATGATAGTCTAACATGCCAGTAAATTCATCAATTAGCCCTTTGAATGTATGAATAATTGATACAACATACAAGTGTAACATTACATTCAGTTTAGTCTAGTGCTGGACTATGTCAGGGGGCATATGTATCAAGCATCATGGGCTGCGTTGACACAAGCAGCCCAATTCTGATATGTTTTCCACTTTTCAAAGCAGATCATTTTCAGAGCTGATCTGATTGGTCAAAAGACCAATTAGTGAAAAAAATATCAGAATTTGGCTGCCTGTGTAAACACAGCATTAGAGTCAGAGAACTGATTTAGGATCAGTTTTGCCTTTAAGATCACAATGATTAGGATGATATGGACAGGGACTACCTGATCCTAGATCACAATGATTAGGATGATATGGACAGGGACTACCTGATCCTAGATCACAATGATTAGGATGATATGGACAGGGACTACCTGATCCCAGATCAGCCGCACTACCTTGAGATGCGTGATACATTTGTCCCTAGGAAGCACCTTCTGTAGGTGGGTCTTCTACCAGGTGTATCCAGGGAGCTTGTTAACCACCAGCTCAGAGACATGTTGATACTCATTCCTGAACCCCAGAGAACCCAGTTCATCTATAGCCTCTATAGCTAGCACTCCTGCCTCCTCAGTTAGCTCCTCTCCTATCTCCTCTCCTATCTCCTCAGTTAGCTCCTCTCCTATCTCTTCGGCCTCGTGGGACTCAGGTGAGGAGTTGTAGTCAGTAGGGATGAAGGTGTCTACAGAGTATCCCCTGTCTGGCCTGCCGTTCTTAGTGGGGATGTAGTCAGTAGGGATGTCACTGAGCTGGCTTGATGCTCGGAGACTCTCAGAGACAGAGAAAGGCCCCTTGGCTCCATGAGACCAAGTACCACCAGGCCCAGAACCAGGCCTCATGGCTCCTCCGCTACAAGGCCCAGAACCAGGCCTCATGGCTCCTCCGCTACAAGGCCTTGCTGCCTGCGGAGTTCTGGAGCGGACTGAGCATATGGATGCAGGCGTGTCTCCAACACTGTTGTCAGAGGAGACGCTGAGGGCTGAGGCCTGGGTACGAGGTCTGATGACGTGTGTGTTCATCAGGGAGCGCTGGGGAGACGTCTCAGCTTTAACAGGAACAGGAGGAGCCACTCTTCTTCTCTGGCTTCTCTCTGAGGCACTGGAGCCGTCAGAGTTAAGGTCACCTGACACGTGGCTCCTCCTCTTGTCCCTGGTCCCGCCCCCAACAGGCTCAGGGCTCCTCTCCCTAGTCCTCCCACCCCCAACAGGTTCAGAGCTCCTCCCCCTAGTCCTCCCACCCCCAACAGGTTCAGGGCTCCTCCCCCTAGTCCTCCCACCCCCAACAGGTTCAGGGCTCCTCCCCCTAGTCCTCCCACCCCCAACAAGCTCAGGGCTCCTCCCCCTAGTCCTCCCACCCCCAACAGGTTCAGAGCTCCTCCCCCTAGTCCTCCCACCCCCAACAGGTTCAGGGCTCCTCCCCCTAGTCCTCCCACCCCCAACAGGCTCAGGGCTCCTCCCCCTAGTCCTCCCACCCCCAACAGGCTCAGGGCTCCTCCCCCTAGTCCTCCCACCCCCAACAAGCTCAGGGCTCCTCCCCCTAGTCCTCCCACCCCCAACAGGCTCAGGGCTCCTCCCCCTAGTCCTCCCACCCCCAACAGGTTCAGGGCTCCTCCCCCTAGTCCTCCCACCCCCAACAGGTTCAGGGCTCCTCCCCCTAGTCCTCCCACCCCCAACAGGCTCAGGGCTCCTCCCCCTAGTCCTCCCACCCCCAACAGGTTCAGGGCTCCTCCCCCTAGTCCTCCCACCCCCAACAAGCTCAGGGCTCCTCCCCCTAGTCCTCCCACCCCCAACAGGCTCAGGGCTCCTCCCCCTAGTCCTCCCACCCCCAACAGGTTCAGGGCTACTGTGGAGGTCAGTTGAAGGTGAGTAGCCATCACCATCAGTAGGGTCCAGACTGCTGAAGTCATCCAGGTACTCTACTGCCCCCACACTGTCCAAACTATCACTGCTGGAGGCTGCGTGGGGGTGTTTGTGTCTGGGGCTTCTTCTGGGGTCTGCCTTGAGGGGCTCGTGGCCAGAGTCTGAATGGTGTGGTCTTGGAGTCTCATCCCTGTCTCCTCTGCTGTCCGAGTCAGCATGGCCGTGCTCTCCACTCAGTATCACCTCCTCTGTGTGATCATCACTGGGAATACGCACCCACTGTTTACTGTGACTGTCCTGCTTGGAATGGGATGATGGTTTCTGTTTTGGTAATCTTTGGGAAGAGTCATCTCTCTTACAGTAAAAATCCTCTGCATTGACACTAGTTGTAAATGTGTTTCTTAGTTCCTGCTGGGTTCTAGTTGAGATGTTTTCCTGCCGTCCACAATCTCTGTCCAGGCTACTTATCAAAGTCGCAATGTTCTCATTCAGAATAGCATTCCTATTGAGTATCTTCCTGCTATCTATATGTTTATTTGTTTGACTGTTAGTGTTGTTGGACTTCCTTCCTGGACCCTTGGTCTTGAGTGTCTGTTTGTCTGTCTGTTGCTCTCTGCACTCATGGATGTGGCATTTCATCCCACCAGGTTTAACCTGCTTCATTCTTAGGCGGAAGGTTTTTGTCATTCCAAAACCTAACTTCTTCTTGGGAGAGGACTTGGGCACTGTATGGCCACTCATTGTATTCTCCCAGTTTGTTTTTCTGAAAGAACTTAGTGGGGTACTGGTGCATTGTTCCTGAAGTGGCCTGTTCATCCCTCTGGGGCCCACTGGGCTAGGAGACCGTCTGTCTCTCTGTGGTGATGTTGTGGAGCCTCGTAGGCCCTGGGACTGAGGCCAGTCTGCCTGTCAGAATCACAGTCACCTTTATTCACAAAATACATTTACATATTACCCAGAATTTGACTTGGCTAAATGCCAGCAATAGACAAAAATATACAGACAGAAGAAATTACACAATGTACACTACCGGTCAAAACACCTACTCATTCAAGGGTTTTTCTTTATTTTTACTATTTTCTACATTGTAGAATAATAGTGAAGACATCACAACTATGAAATAACACATTTGGAATCATGTAGCAACCAAAAAAGTGTTAAACAAATAAAAATATATTTTCTATTTGAGATTCTTCAAATAGCCACCCTTTGCCTTGATGACAGCTTTGCATATTCTTGGTATTCTCTCAACCAGCTTCATGAGGTAGTCACCTGGGGCCTCATGTACAAAGACTTGCGTTGAATTCAAACTAAAACATTGCGTACGGACAAAGCCATAAATGTGCGTACGCACCAAAAAAATCTGATGTATGAATCTCTGCGTACGCAGCATTCCACATACATTCTCTTTGTACATCCCAATCAACGCGAAATTGAGCGCACATGCACGAGCACCACACCACACCCTGTCTCCTCCCTCAATTAAATCAATTAAAATATGGTAATTAGTCCAATTTGGCAAAAGAAACCTGCAAGAACATGGCTAAAGCAAGCAAGAAACGAAATTTCACTGAAAACGAATTAGAGGTGCTACTATCAGAGGTAGAAACAAGAAAAAATATTTTATTTGGAAATCTGTCCTCTGGAATTAATAACAAAAGAAAGAAAAAAGAGTGGGCGAGTTTGTCTGATGCCGTCAACACGGTGGGATCTGAGAGTCGCACCGTAAATGAACTGAAGAAGAAATGGTCAGACATAAAGGTGGAAGTTAAGCGGAGAACTGCTGCGCACCGACAAAGTGTGGGCAGAACAGGCGGTGGTACAGGGACCGATGAACTTGCACCCTTTGGTCAGAGAGTTGCCTCTATTGTAGGAAACACGTTAATCTCTGGAATCGTATCCGCTGATGTAGGAGACTCGGATATACTACAGGACTGCCAGCAAGGTGACTCAGATTTATTTCCTTAACTTTGATATACATAGCCAGCCACCGTTTAATTTTAAAATGCATGCAATATAGCAAAAGGTACACCAGAGATTTCACGTATCCACTGCTTTTATTGCAAATGCGTGTACCCATTAATAAGGAACAGACTCAAATTACTGTTAAGATGTGCCTGTGTTTAATTGGACTTAGGAACCGCAGGAACGTCCACTGGCACGCACTCAGAGTCCGCACCACCTGAGCAGCCAGAGCCCATTCAGTCCAGCGTCTCCCGTGTCTCTAATGTTCCCCCCAGTGCTGAAGCCCGTCCATCTGGCCGTGTCTTGACGCATGCTGTTCTGGAGTCACAACAACAAATTGTTAAGGCCATTGAAGAAATGAACAGTCACCTTAAAAATGTCACTGACGCACTCACAGAAATAAGCCATTCATTAAAAGAATTGGTCAAAAAATGAACTTTGTGTCTGAGTACCATTTATATTGTCGCAATTACACGTTGACGGGCCTGAATGGCTTGTTGATTGTGCTGCACATATACTGGTCCTGGGTCAGGGTCATCTGGCGGTGCCCCCACCTCACCAAGGGGTATGCCATGCCTGTGCGCGACATTGTGCAGCACTCCACAGGCCAGTATGATGCGGCAAACCTTGTCAGGGCGGTATAACAGCATCCCCCCGGTCCTGTCAAGGCAGCGCCACCGACATTTCAGCTGCCCAATCGCCCGCTCCACAACTGACCGAGTGCGGGAATGGGCATCATTGTATCTGCGCTCTCGGTCAGTTTGTGGGTTGGTGAGGGGGGTTAACAGCCACGTCTTTAGTGGATAACCACCGTCTCCTGATGGGCAGTAATAATAATTACAGACACAAACATTTTACTTTTAGATAGAACCATACATTTAAATGCATAACTTACCAAGTAGCCACCCATCGCGCACCCTGCCAGCTTGGAGTCTCATCCCAACCATGCTGTTTGTAAGGATATATGAATCATGGGTTGACCCAGGCCACCTTGCCACAATATTTGTTAGGCGCATTTGTGCATCACATATAATCTGCACATTTATTGAATGGAAATGTTTCCGATTCACATATGCAAATTTGTCTTCAGATGGCGCCTTTATAGCAATATGTGTGCAGTCGATCGCTCCGATTACATTAGGAAAACCGGCTATCGCTGCAAATTGCGCTTTGATGTTTGGCTGGTCACCTGCATCGTATGGGAACGTTATATACCTGGCAGACAAGCGGATGATGCCGTCCCATACAGGTGGCATTGCACGGCTCAAACACGACTGGCTTATTCCTGAGCGGTCTGCCAGTTCTCTTTGGAAAGAACTGGTTGCTAGGAAACCAAGTGTAGTAAGCACCTGTAAAGGAACGGGTAATGCGTGGCTCCTCACTGTCTCTCTTTCCAAATTCGGACCCAACTCAGCGCAGAGCTCCAAGAGTATAGCCCTTGGAAATCTGAAACGGCTGATGAGCCAGTCATCGTCGTGGGCCAGAAAATCACCGTGGTCCCTAAAAACTCGTTCTCTCCGGATTTGTCCATTGAAAATGTCTTCTAATAAAGCCAAAGCTGCCATTGCTAGACGGGTTGTATCAATTTTCACATCCTTTATATATGTTCTTACTTAATTGCATAATTAATAGAATATTCTAATAAGACTCGTGTGACAATAATATGGCAAATCATTTATCAATTACAAATTATAAGCAATATCTGGCAGGTGCGATAGAACAGTTCGTAGTGTAATGTTTGCCACTTCACTTTATTGCCTCTATGAGTCGCCAACGGACAAACATCACAAAAATGTACGTACGCCAGGCCTGAAGTTTACGTGGAAGAACGCACATTCTTACGTTAATTTCACTGTTAGTACATCTGACCGTGAACGTGAAAGCTGGCGTACGCCGTGTTTTCGTGCGTACGCAAGATTGATACATGAGGCCCCTGGAATGCATTTCAATGAACAGGTGTGCCTTCTTAAAAGTTAATTTGTGGAATTTCTTTCCTTCTTAATGCGTTTGAGCCAATCAGTTGTGTTGTGACAAGGTAGGGGGGGTATACAGAAGATAGCCCTATTTGGTAAATCGAAGAATCTCAAATAGAAAATACATATTTGATTTGTTAAACACTTTTTTGGTTACTACATGATTCCATATGTTTTATTTCATAGTTTTGATGTCTTCAATATTATTCCACAATGTAGAAAATAGTAAAAAATAAAGAAAATCCCTTGAATGACGTCTTCTAAAATGTTTGACCGGTAGTGTGCGTACAGTATCATACCTGTCCATTAGAAGGCTCTGTCAGCGGCCTGTAGATCCATGCTAGGTTGGGGTGGACTGATAAGAGGTGCTGTAGCTGGGTCTGACTCTGTCCACTCAGCTGGGAGAGCTCAACTAGCAGGGCGTTCAATAGAGGGAGCTGTCTCAGAGCCTCCCCCAGGATAGATGCTGTCTGCTGGGGTTGGTGCTGTCCCCTCTCCCCCGTGCCTCTAGACTCCACTACCACATCCTGTCTCGCTCTCCGCCTGCGGTCTGTAGCAGGAACCTCTGTCTCATCAGGTGTCTCCTCATTCCCCAAGTCCAGATCCTCTACCCTGAGAGATTCCATGTCTAATTTGAACACCCTGTACTGGTCTGGTTCATTCTCCTCTTGTTGTTGTTGTTGTTGTTCTACAGGACTGCTGTAGTAAAGAGATGGGGGCTGAACACAGAGGCTTCCCTCATCATGCTCCTTATCAACAGCAGCCACTCTGAATGTTCGGTGATGCCGCTTGCTTCTAGAATGTTCTGTTTGAGTGGCAGTCGAAACTGCAACAGTCTGCTGTGCCTCTGACGCCATTATCTCACTGGGCTGGCCGTTTATAGGAATATTCTGATAAAGGGCATTGGAAGGCGTGTTGTCAATGTCCAAGTCAAGTGGTTGCACCTTTCCTTCCCCACTATCAACTGGTAGATGTTCTGTTGGTTTCATAGATTCAACTGGTAAATGTTCTGTTGGTTTCATAGATTCGGTCCCATGTGTAATACCAACTGTCAATAACCTGTTATCAGGTATATGTGGTAATGAACTACTTCCCAGACTTAATAGATTATATCCCAAGGAAATAACACCTATTTTCTCCCCCATGAGATTAAATAAGTCAACAAGTCCTTTCTCTCCGTGGGAAGAGGGAGAGGAGATACCATGAACCTCCACATCACACCTGATACAGTCTATCAACCTGACCAGAGAGACCAGCGAGCTGCCGATCAACCTGGGAACCTCTCCCCTCACATCCAGGACCACAGCATGCAGAGGAGTATTGGACAGCTGGGTGTGGAGAGAGTCCAGGTGGGTTTTGAACAAACACGACTTGCCTTTGTTGAAAGGGTATTTAAATGTGTCATGGGCTTGATAGAGCTGGTTTTCCTTCTCACTGTCGTCGTCATCATCATCATCATCATCATCATCATCATCATAGTGCTGTTGTTCTAGCTGTGGAGCAGCCGTTTCTGGTTGGTAGATGAGCAGAGTTGGGAAGTCTAGTAGTCTCACACCGAGGGCTAATTCATCTGAATAATTTAGACATTTTCTGGTATTGTCTATTCTGATATATTCCACCAGTAGTTGGAAAGAAAAGAGGGTTTCGTTGTTATTTAATTGCTCCGTCATTAAGTAATTGCGACAGCAGACCGAGCAACAAGAATTTGACAGATTCACTCTCAGCCCAGAATTGCCAGTGATAACACTCTGAATGGAAATCCTTCGTTGAATTAATTGGTTAAACATCAATCAAACCACTCAAAAAGAAAACAACGTGTGGTTTCTGTATAATTTACGAGAGAATCACAGCTGAAATGAAGGAGAAAATCCGTCAGCAACGATTACTGTCAACAACAAAAACCCACAAGCTTCTTCAGCTCCATGGAAACAAACTGGCGTCCGTCGCGCGTCTTTTATGTCATCTGATGCAAGAGGATTCTGGGAATAGTAGTTTTCAGTCCTGACCATGAGAATCAATTGTGAATAATGTTACAATAGCCGATTTATTAGGAGTCATATTGAGCTACAAATGCACACTAATAACAAATACTTTTATAACTAACTATCTGTGCTAATAACCTACGAAATATATCAATAAAACAAAGAATATAACAAAATAGAATATAATAGAACTCAATATCCTTTATGGCAAAATAGCACAGAGATACATTATAGCATATTAGAGACTTCATTTGACGGTATCCTATTTATTTGATTTCCATGATAAAAACAAGTTAGAGAGATGTTCCTGCAGCTCACCAGTTGGTGCCACTGTGGCGCTTTATTCAGCGATAGGCTATGATATGCCGATTGCTGAAAATCTATAGAAAAAATGTAATGTCTATTATCCAGAATATAGGGCTATTCCATTTGGGCCTGCTATTTTGTGCCCTATTCTCACAACCAGAGATTAATCTTCGTCACTGTCACACCTCGCCGTTATTCTCTCTTTTTACAGTATAGACTTCAGTGACTGAATTACAATCATTAACAAGTGAATCTCCTCTGTTCTCTTCTCCACTTGTGGGTTTGGCTGGATCTCTCTATTCACACAAATCATCACATTAAGGAAGGCGGAGGGAGGAGCTATCCGTCAGGGTGGCAGCTTGCTCTGTTCTGCTGTCATCCCGGTCTAAAGCGGTCTCTAGATGGATATCACACCGAACGGCAGCCGGAGAGAGGTGAGAGAGTCGGTCTATGGAACTTCACACGTTGGAGCGTTTCTATGGATGAACACGGTTTATTCTATCGACAAGGATAATAACCGTCTCGTCTATCTTCCCGGATATTAGCCTATTATTCTGCTGCTCCAGTGAAAGGTAACGGCACATACGTTCTTCCTCCTGTTATTCCCCAATAACGGAATAGAGGGTCTGGGTATGTTCTAACGTCCAGACACAGCTCCGCTATTATAGCCTAAATTATTATATTGTCCGTCAGTAAAAATAAATACAAATATATGATTGTGTTAGTGGATTAGTGAGACAGAACTTGTCCGAGATATATTGTTGTTTGGTGTAATTATGTGTAGGCTATGAAAATCACAGTCGGAAAAAGCCATTGACAGAAACACAGAATAGAACAGTGGTAACTTTACACACACCACAGTGAAAGTTTCCAGCGCAAAAGCTGTTTGTGATCTACTGCTGCCGCTGTGAGCAGGCAGGCTTGTTATTACCGCTACTTGACAGTTGATTTGACGAGTCTGTACTGCACATAGAGCTGATCTGCAGTGCTTCCCAGTAGTAGAATGCACAGAGAGCCATTGTTCTAATGATCCTTTGTTGAGGTTGATGATAAAATCATATTTCATGTCCATAATGGCTATAGCCTATTATCACAGAATAATATATTGCATGGAGTTTCTCACCTGGAAATATACTATTCTAAAGTATTTTGAATAGTCTGCTATGCCTGATGTAATGATTGTCCCTCAGCTGGTGGTGTCTTTTATTATCTGGTGGTAGTACTTCTCTGTGACAGACAGGGGGCGATGAAGACCTCAATCCATGTCTGACACAGCCTACCTACCTGCAGACCTTTGTCTGTGAGTTCCTTACACTGCTACCACCTCTACTCATAGCATGAGTCCCAAATGGCACCCTCTTCCCTTTTAGTGCACTAACGTGGACCCACATTAAACTCTGGTCAAAATAGTGCACTATATAGGGAGTAGGGTGCCATTTTGGGATGCGCCCAAGTATTCTCATAACAAAGACCAGGTGATTATCAGTAACCAGGAATGTATCAACCTGGTTCCTTACTGTTGTTTGTCCTCCATGTATTGTTATTGCTGTACGTCTATGTCTACCATACAGACATACAGTGCATTCGGAAAGTGTTCAGACTTTTTCCACATTTTGTTACGTTACAGCCTTATTCTCAAATGTATTACATTCATTTTTTCCCTTATCAATCTACACACAACACCCCATAATGACAAAGCGAAAACAGAAATACCTTATTTACATAAGTATTCAGACCCTTTGTAATGAGACTCGAAATTGAGCTCAGGTGCATCCTTTTTCCATTGATCATCCTTGAGATGTTTCTACAACTTGATTGGAATCCACCTGTGGTAAATTCAATTGATTGGACATGATTTGGAAAGGCACACACCTGTCTATATAAGGTCCCACAGTTGACAGTGCATGTCAGAGCAAAAACCAAGCCATGAGGTCAAAGGAATTGTCCGTAGAACTCCGAGACAGGATTGTGTCAAGGCACATATCTGGGGAAAGGTACCAAAAAATGTCTGCAGCATTGAAGGTCCCCAAGAACACAGTGGTCTCCATCATTCTTAAATAGAAGAAGTTTGGAACCACCATGACTCTTCCTAGTGCTGGCTGCCCGGCCAAACTGAGCAATCGGGGGAGAAGGGCCTTGGTCAGGGAGGTGACCAAGAACCCGATTGTCACTCTGACAGAGCTCCAGAGTTCCTCTGTGGAGATAGGAGAACCTTCCAGAAGGACAACCATCTCTCCAGCACTCCACCAATCAGGCCTTTATGGTAGAGTGGCCAGACGGAAGCCACTCCTCAGTAAAAGGCACATGACAGCCCGCTTGGAGTTTGCCAATAGGCACCTAAAGACTCTCAGACCATGAGAATCAAGATTCTCTGGTTTGATGAAACCAAGATTGAACTCTTTGGCCTGAATGCCAAGCGTCACGTCTGGAGGAAATCTGGCACCATCCCTATGGTGAAGCATGGTGGTGGCAGCATCATGCTGTGGGGATGTTTTTCAGCAGCAGGGACTGGGAGACTAGTCAGGATCGAGGGAAAGATGAACGGAGCAAAGTACAGAGAGATCCTTGATGAAAACCTGCTCCAGAGCGCTCAGGACCTCAGACTGGGGCGAAGGTTCACCTTCCAACAGGACAACGACCCTAAGCACACAGCTAAAACAACGCAGTAGTGGCTTCGGGACAAGTCTCTAAATGTCAGCCAGAGCCCGGACTTGAACCCGATCTAACATTTCTGGAGAGACCTGAAAATAGCTGTGCAGCGACGCTCCCCATCCAACCTGACAGAGCTTGAGAGGATCTGCAGAGAAGAATGGGAGAAACTCCCCAAATACAGGTGTGCCAAGCTTGTAGCGTCATACCCATGAAGACTTGAGGCTGTAATTGCTGCCAAAGGTGCTTCAACAAAGTACTGTGTAAAGGGTCTGAATACTTATGTAAATGTGATATTTCATTATTTTTTTTGTAATACATCTGCAAACATAAAAAAAAAAAAAAAAACTGTTTTTTGCTTTGTCATTATGGGGCATTGTGTGTAGATTGATGAGGGATGTTTAAAAAAAAAAAAACATTTTAAAATAAGGCTGTAACGTAACAAAATGTGGAAAAAGTCAAGGGGTCTGAATACTTTCCAAAAGCACTGTAGACAGTGTGACGGCAGTCTGGTTGTTCATACAGGAGTCTTTTTCTGTGCTCCAAAATGGCACCCTATTCCTTATATAGTGCACTACTTTTAACCAGATCCTATGGGCCCTGATCAAAAGTAGGGCACTATATAATGAATAGGTTGCCATTGGGGATGTAGCCCTGGTCCCTTGGCTGAGAAGGTAATGGTGTCATCCTTCAGCGCCGGATCCCTCTGTTTTCTTCCTGTAGGAAGTTTATTCTACATAACCATTACATGAATAATAAAGGAAATAAATAGTCCTGGGCCTGTAGGAGTACACAACAAGTAGTGGAGGCTACAGAAATCCTTAACAAGCACGTGTTATGCTATAAAAAGACCTTTCAGAAGCCTGTCAGCTGACTCCTGCTCTATGTGCCCTTTTAACTGAACGGATGGATGGAAGGAGGATGGATGGATGGATGGATGAATGGGTGGATGGATGTAGGAAGGATGAATGGATGGATGGATGAATGGATGGATGGATGAATGGGTGGATGTAGGAAGGAAGGATGAATGGATGGATGGATGAATGGGTGGATGGATGTAGGAAGGATGAATGGATGGATGAATGAATGGATGTAGGAAGGAAGGATGGATGGATGGATGGATTAATGGATGGATGAATGGACAGATAAATGGGTTATGGTTAGGTGGTGTTTAGAGAATAGACAACAGCACAGGAAAAAACTAATAAAAAACAATGAAAATACAAATATTTACTACACAACAAACATAAGATAAAAAACAAAAGAACACAATAAAAACTGAATGACTAAAAAGCACCCTGAGGAAAAACAAATCTAAAAAGGTGTGCTTTAAGATCTCTTTTAAATGTCCACAGTTTCAGCCCCCCTCAGGTTCTCTGGCAGGCTGTTCCAGAGGCTGGGGGCATAGTAACTAAAGGCTGCCTCTCCATGCCTCTTGGTCCTGGGTTTGGGATAGTTAAAAGGCCAGTGCCAGAGGACCTGAGGGACCTACTGGGTACATAACTTAAAAGCATGTCTGACATGTATTGGGGTCCAAAATCGTGGATTGATTTAAAAAACAATAGAATCATCTTCAAAGATATTCTAAAACTCACAGGCAGCCAGTGCAGAGACCTTAAAACGGTGTAATGTGTGCTCTCTGTCTGGACTTGGTCAGTACCCGTGCTGCAGCATTCTGTATGTTTTGCAGTTGACCAATGGCTTTCTTGGGTAGACCAGACAGGAGAGCATTACAGTAGTCAAGCCTGCTTGTAATAAAAGCATGGATGAGTCTCTCTGTATCAGCCTGAGAGAGAAACGGCCGCACCTTGGCAATGTACCTCAGGTGGTAAAAAGCTATTTTGGTCACA